AATAGAAATCATGGGTGGGTTTTGGCAAAGTCGAATTTGTCATAGGATATTATTTATGGTATTAGTGACTTTGTTCATAACTGGATTTATTTACGTGTATGAGAAAATGCAAAAGTCGTGTACTTGCGCGCCAAAATCTAACTGTACAAGCATACCATTGCCTTCTTCCACAAACAATGTACGAGTCGTTAATATTACTTATCCTATGAACATAACATCGTCTACTTGCAACAGCAATGAAAGAGGCGTTAGAACTACATTTCACGGCTCTCGACCGTTCTGTATCTACTTATTACCGAATGACATTGTTTCGAATTCAATCGCCACGTCTGGATCATGGGCAGCACAAAACACTAAGTTAATTGCCTTGTTACTAGCTGATTCTCCGTTGAAACCTGCCGTTTTCTTAGACATTGGCGCTAATATCGGCTGGTTCACAGTGGTGATGTCAGTGCTTGGTCACAATGTGATTGCAATAGAACCAATGTATAGTAATGTTAAGCTCATGCAAGCATCTCTACAGGCATCACAATCATCACAAAACGTTGTCGTGTATCCACATGGTCTTGGTGTCACATCGGAGAAGTGTATAGTCATGAGTGACGACTTGAATATTGGTGATGGACATGTAATATGTGGAAAAGCAGCAGATAAAGGCATGAATGCTAAAGTGCGTGTAGGCTATTCGGTGAGACAAGTTATTAATGTTACACGACTCGATGTCCTTGTTTGCCAAAATATTGATGTAATGAAAATAGATACTGAAGGATCTGAGCTATTCACAGTACAAAGTGGTGATCGTTTATTCGATCGGTATCACGTTCGTCACATCATATCAGAATTTTCTCCTTCGCTCCTGCGAAGTAAAAATGCTGATCCGTACGAATATCTTAAATTTTTTCTGTCTCGCGGGTATGATATTCGTATTACCGAGCGAAACATAGGCGACTTATATGAACGAAACGCTTGGCAGACAATGCCCGTTTATAGATCCGTGCTAGATCTACAAAACATAGTTAATCAGGACCAAATAATAGACCTATGGTTTATGAAAAAGTAAATTGAACATAAATGAACTAATCTGAATATATTAGAAGGTGTCCTAGATCGATTGAAGAGAATATCCTCACCAATACCATCCATTTTTATCTGTTTGTTTAAGTTTTTTTTTCTATATCTGTTATTATTTTCATTGCTTCATCAACATCTACAAATAATAAATAGAAATCTTCAAATTCAGCCTAAAAGAACGATAACAAACGTTCAACTTCATAATTCATTGGTGATTTAAGTGCCTCGATGTCCAGAAATAATAATTAAATTAAATTCTAAAATATATATTTATCACGAAAATATTATTTTCATCGTCAGATGTGATTCATCGCTTATATATAATCAATTTCATCACCTAAAAATAGAAGTAGAACACAAATTTAAATTAATTTTCAATGAATTCATAATAAAATGGACATGTCGAAAAGAAACATTTATGTATGGTGCGGCAAATTCAAAACTAGAACAAATCATTTTTCTTTCTTTGATTTTTATATGGCTGCATAGAATGGACAAGCTGTATAAGAAAATATATTTCTGTTGCTTTTTCGAAATAATTTCACTAGAAAAAAATCAAAATATGGAGACAACTCTACTTGTCAAAAGATTTGTTTAGTTTTCAGAAATAGGGATCCCTTCATTTCTATCCTGTTCAAATGATTTCGAAACTACTCAACTATAACCTGATCGATATTATGTTTAGATGATAAGAACCACCATATGCAGATATCGCTAGTGTAGTGTGTAAGCCTATCTAGTTTTTCTGGAAATATTTGAATTTAAGTTTTATACACTATTTGAACAACCTTAAAAGAGGCAACACCAGTATGCATCGACTTTTCAAAGGCTTTCTTTTCTTGTAAGACAAAAATCATTTTTTCTTCTAATGACTACTAAATCGATTGACTGTTTTTACGATATAACAGAATTTCACCTTCAAATATTTTTTTTGAACATATGCACGTAGGTTACAATCAATGTAGATTCTAGCCGATATGTTTTGGAAAACTAGTCCAATATATTATAAAATAGAATAAAAGTTAGAATGAAAGATTGTTGGAAAGTCCGTCAAATAAAATAAAAATCAAGAGAACTCTGCTACCCAGTCGAGAATATGGCGGTCATTGACTTAAGAAAGTAGGTTTTTGCCAAACATTCATGAGCGACGATTTTTACGGTTAATAAAAGAGAGAATCCATTGTTCTTACTCATATCTAATGGCAATCTGATTTAATCAAAAAATCAGTAGTTGAAATTTGTAATGTGATGTCACCTAAGATAGCCTCTAAATTACAGTGATAGAAAAATCATGTCCTACTACGTTTTCTATGAACATTCTCGAAGGACGATTTCTTTTTATGTTGTTAAATGCAACCTAAAAAGTATTGAAATGTCAACAATGTTGACGAACTTAGAAATAGAAATTTGTAAGCTATGGAGGACCTCTCAAGGGAGCTATGATGATTCCCTGGGCAACTAAGATAGACCATTAATTACCTTACAGCTGCGTCATTTATAAAAGCCAAAATGATTCTATTTCTGCAATAGTTTCCATACTAATACATTCATGTTCACAAATTTCGTAGTGGATATTATTGCTTTTTTTATTTTGGCAATAATGGAACTGTGGAAACATTGAAAACAATTCCTATTTCCCAATTCTTGGACACTCTTCATCATGACTAGCCACGAACTTTTATCAAAAGTTTAAAAACCCTGCGTCATTTCTTTCTATCTTTTCTAGATATAAGAAATGTATATTTTTGAGGCAGTTTAGATAACTATTCAATCAGAAACCATTCAAATTAGATCAAATATACACAGTTTTTCCAACTTTCCATGTAAAATTATTGATGAATGAAAATTCAACAGAAGAAACATTCATCTGAAGTTTTACTTCTCCTTGATCTTTGTTGTTTACCTACTTATCATCTCTAAATATCTTCTGAAGATCATTGATTCATACATTCTTTTACCGATTTTTATAATTTTTGTGACATTTTAGATTTCGAGAGTTTCAGTTCCTGGTTGTCAATATATATACATATTTTCATTAAGACATTATATCAGATGTTTGTTGAATTTGCTTTAACGATAAAATGTCATTTCAAATCAATAGATAAATCCTTGCTTTAATAGCGATGCCTTTCATCTTTTGAATGACATGATTTTCTTGTAAAAAAAAATATTATTTTATTGATTTTGTCTGAATAACAATTAAAGAAAAACATCAAGTCACGTTGAAACTCGACGTGACAGTTTGATAATGTTTCTCTAATCCGCAATCCACTTTTGTCTAATATTTTTCAAAGTAAGGGTGAGTGGGTGTGGGTGTGAATGTGGGTGTAGGTGTGGGTGGGTGTGTGGATGTGGGTGTGGAGGTGTGTGAGTATGAGTGTAGGTGTAGGTGTGAGGGTGTGCGTGTGCGTGTATATCTCTATTTGGAGAGGACCAAGATGTGTACCCACACCTTTTTATTCTCTCTAGTGATCAACTATTCCATGGATATCATTACAGTAATTACCAGATATGTGTTGAGTTATCAAGTGAAAATGAGTGAGAGAGCAGGGTTTGTTGCAACAAATTCTGGAAATTCTGGAAAATTCGAGGAAGTTTCAGAGCATTTTGGAGTATCCGAAGCTAGAGTATTCGAAAATATTCTAAAGCTTTCTAGAATTTTTCAGAATTTCTAGAAACATGCCGGAGAAATTGATTTCTTTTGCACCGCACCGAAAAATTTTAGAATATTCTACAAATATTTATGCTTTGGTCTGTAAAAGAGGTACAAACAGACAAACTGCGATTTAGTATACAGGTATAGATGAAAAGAACGTAAAATATTGGACATTGATAGACGAAAAAAGCATAAGCTTTTCAAAATTGTTGTCTCCTAGTGGTCGGGTATTACGAAATCGCCATATTAAGCCATGCGATACCAAAGAATTTTTGTGATCCAACGAGGGTGTGGGTGTGAATTTCGTTGTGTGCATATCGGTATTGGATGTAGGTGTGCATGTTTTTAAATCATGCATATCCACAGTCACACCCATACCCACACCCTATAGTATTTCGACCTTGTTTCTAACCAAATGAGTGTGTGATCTTCTACTAATGCGTGTTATTCCTTCACTAGTCGTCAGTTTGATTTGCTATTTTATGACTGGTTTGCAACGAATTGCTAGACAGTTTTTCGTCTTTCTTCTTACCATCTTCATGGCTAATCTCTTCGGCTCGGCTATGTGTTTCTTGATTGCAGCAAGCATTTCTGTTTTTGTTAAGATTTTGTCCAAAGATAAAACATTTTCAGAGATCTTTTGAAAACTGTTTAGCCGTGGCTTGATCATTCTGGTTCTTGTTTTTGTCATCATGATGGTATTCAGTGGTTTTCTTGTCGAATTGAATAGTGTATTCAGTTTTCTCTGTTGGATTCAATGGATAAGTGCCTTTCGTTATGCTTCTAATGTCTTGACGGTCAAAGAATTTTGCAATCTGCAATTCTGTTTGGCCAATCATACCCATATATGTCCTCTCTCAGGCGATGACGTCTTGCAAGGACGATCTATCGATCATGCATCGGACTGGAGTATGTGGAAATACTTTTTTGCTTTTACATTGATGACCATATTATCCTTCTTAATGGCTTATGTTAAATTGTTACCTATCAAGAAAGTTAACTAAATCGTTTTGAATCTTAATCAATTTGAGTGTAAGAAACCTCTCCAGAGTCATCTAATATAGATTTTTTTTCTATCACATCATTTGCACATCTTAATTGACGATATCATTCACTTTTATCTCTTTAAATAACTTATCAAAATACTGAATAAAGGAGAACAATGGTTATAGCTTTGCTGAATGATCAGAAAATGAAATTGACAAATATTTTATTTAGACAAGAAAAGAAAGTAAAACAAACTTGTTAAATCTAGAGCAAAAATATGATTGTATCATAAACATAATGCATCTGATCTAAAATAACGTGCGAAGTAAAGCATAATATTAGCTGTCCAATATAAACCTTCCGTTTTATTAATATTAAATGGATCATATAAAGAAATAAATCGAGCAAATTTATAATAATAACGAAAAGGTGTCATATAATTTTGTGCTAAATGGTGATTGTTAACATTTGCAAAACAGCTTGCTAAAATATTGTTTATTAATAAAGTACCTTTCATTGTTAATGGAGCATAATAGCCTTTTTTCATTTCAATTGTTATATTTATTACTGGAGAATATTTGAATTTTCCATTAAATAGAACAAATAAATAATCTCCTATTTTAATTTGTTTTGCAAATAAATAATTTTCATTTCCATTTGAATTTGTTATTGGAATTAAATGATATTCTGTTAAGCTTATTTCATTACCAGAATCTGTTCTTAACGTATAAAATAATGCTAAAATAATAGTATTATATATATATATTTCTTAATAATTATAAATAAAAATACCTTCTTTTGAAATTTGTTTATCTAGCATCATTATCATTTCTGTCGAAATTATTTTTGATTGATCAATAGTTATTATTTCATCACCGGATTGAAGATTGCCAACTTCTTTATATTTACCATTTGATAATTTAATTAATGAATCGCCAGAAAAACATTGAGCTCTTCTGTAGGGTGAATGTGAATGCGCCCATGGATCTTTAATAAATCAAGTATTTTTATTTCAGAGAATTTATTTTACAGTGTTTGATCTACCATTTTGGAAATTGAAGGTCAGATATTTTGACTATGGAAGAAATTATTATAGACACAAAAAATCCTATTTAAGACTCATTCAAGATACTATTAACTCGTTTTTATATGTTTTTCAACAGAAAATATCAAAAAAATTTTCTGAAGAGGAAAATGACCGATCCTTTGCCTCTTAAAATTCACCAGTGATATTATAGATAAAATCAGTGTTTAGATAAAATAAAAAAAAAACTTACCTCTTTCATAATGATGATGATCATGATATGACTCGTAGTATAATGGAGAACTATCAGTATTAAATAATATTATAAATCCAATCAATATTATACAGAAAATATTTGTTTTAGAATACATTTTTTAGTATAAAATCAATCAAAGAATTTTTTCTTAGATAAAAAAAAAAGACTTCAAAATTATAATTTTATTCAAAATGACGAAGTTATTCGTTTAAAAATAAATACTTTTGTCAATTTGATTTCATTTATATTTGACCAATTTGTCAAATTTACTTTATTTCATCCATAGAAATTTTATTTAAAAGTAAATTACAAAAAAAGAGTCTATTTAGTTTAGTTTTTCTTTCTGCATCTCTTTAAATACCTTTTCTTATTTATTTCAAATTAACAAAAAAAGATTGATTCTTAAAGTAATCAAATGCAAACTTCATTTGAGGGTGACAGTTGAGGGCGAAGGTGACGATGAAATAAGCTACCACACAATACATAAATGTGTTCCATAGTGGATGATAAAAAAAAGACGAAATAAGCGAAAAATATCAAGAAAACAAACAATGAGGCAGAAAAAAATAAAGAATCGTTCTGTCTTAGTGTACTCCCAGAAAAATAGAAGCTTTTATGACAGCCTAAGAATCATGCACGGTATCGGTACACATGACTTCGATCGTTGAATTGTATCCTTTGGTTTTTCGGGGTCAATACAAAGTAACGAAGAAATCTTCCTAAGTGCTAATCGTGGATTCGAATGAAAGATAGCCCTGTCGATAGAGCTCAATGAGCCGGTCACACTGGTGACAGACGCTATTCCTATAGGGCTCTATTATAGAATTTTCAGGTCATGTATATTCTAGAGAATATGATCTGTAGGAATAGGCTGAGATTGTGTATTAGGAAAAGGTTCATGAAACGCACATGTTTTTAATGGTGGAAATGATAACTGTTGAAAAAAATGTTCGAAGCAAAACATATGCTGACAATGGCTGCACTAAATAAATGGGTAGCCATTATAGTTATTTGTTGAACATTGATTTGCCTTGAAACTGAGGCAAACCTCGTTCAAATTGAAAAATGACTGATGTTTTGGTTGAAAATCACCACAAGCTGACCATCCATAGTCGAACATCTTGTAAGCACAGAATTTGAGATTTTAGGTACAAGATGACAAGATTATCTTGCCTCAAGATCTGCGATCAGATCTTGATTACAGATTTCTAAGATTCTAGCTGAAATAATCAGACTGCTAGAACGAACGCTAATATGCATTTATAAATGATCCTCAAAGCTTCTGAAACAGTCTGCCTGCTGTAAATTTCATGCTGAGTATGAGTCTGGCATCAGATCCTCGTTACGAACTCATGAAACCAAATTAGATACTGATTTTTCAATCAAAAATTTTAGAATCGTCGTCCTTATGAACACGTTTAAATAAAGATCATATTGCTTCTAAGACTTCGGCGCGATCAAATTCTGAACAGTGGCAAAATAAATTTTAGTAACTATTACGAAGTCAAGATCTTTGACGACAAACATAAAATTCTTATATCTTGGTTGTATCAGGCACATCTTATCCAAGATCTACTAACAGATCTTCGGGGGCAACATTATCTTGTTATCTTGTACCTAAAATTTCAAGATCTCTGCTTACAAGATGTCCGACTAGGGTATGAATATGAAATCATTGACAGAACAACATCAGCCTAAAGTTGTTTGTGAATCAATGACTGAGGCTTTATAACGGAGTCTGAAGTTCTCAAATCAATATTGAGATCATCCATTGAGAGTGGGTGAGGATGAAGGTGAGTAAGGATGAAGAGAAGACCATCAGTCTTACCCTTACTCATCCACCCATTCTTGATAAGCGGTTCCCAGTTTGTAGAAACCCAGTATGTAGTTTCGGAAACCTGGAAATGTGAATCTACCGGTAGTTCCGAGCTCTTGAAAAAGGGAACTCGCAAGTGAGTAACCATCCTGATGTGTTTAAAAACAGTAAAGATGAGTTCTCAAATGTGTTTGTGTTCCTTTGGAACGAAATCTTGATACCTCTGTTTCCCTGGGCAATTTTGATATTTTATTAGACTCTATCACATGGATGACATTCCGATTGACCCATGCTTATTTTTCACGTAATTACAACACATTATCATTTACTCTGACGGTTTGTTTGCCTGTAAAGAATAAAATGTATTTCTACTGGATTTTGAAAGTAACGCTTCACACAAATCTAGAGCATTCGTTGCTTTGACTATGTCGTGAATCCATGTGAAATGATCTATGTCTTGGACAAAAAGGACTGCATATGCAAACGTATATATATTAAATTCCAAGATGTGTCACACAAACCAATGTTTGCTTATTTATTCTTGATTATGTATATTAAACATACAGCAACATAGGTTTCAACTAGCTAAACGAAGATAAATGTAAGTTAGCCATCATTTAGTCTGTTAAAATCGAATCATTGTTAGTCTTATATAAAAATCTGTTTTAATGGAAACTCCAAATCTTCTATTCTTTTCTTGTAGATCCAGATGCATATACAGCTATAACCAGTGCCATATAGGTAAAAAAATGTCCTGCAACTGACAAATTATATGAAGAGCCGATAGTGATATCTTCAATCAGCGCTATTAATGCTGATAATGGTACATATATGTTGTTGCTAGCGAAGGCCATTGCAATTGTGAGTGTGGGTGTCACTCCTCACCAAAACAACACCCACACCCTAAGAAAACTTTTTATTCATAACAAGATATTTTCGAAGAAAAACTGGAATAAGAAAAGTTCATGAGAAGCTTAGTTTATAGCAATGTCAATATGCAATATCTTGAGAGCGACAAGTTTTCTTTCGTTCAAACGTTTGAAATATTCTGATGATCATCAAATTTTTTATTTGGATATTTTAATGAAAAAAAGTTTTGCTCACAATAAAAAGTTCATAAATTCTCGCCACTAGATCATGAATATGAAGTTTTTTAGACTTATCTCAAAGATCTCCTCACTTTTGATTTGTAGAAAACTTATTGCATTATAATGGTCTTGAATAAAAATTTAAGAAGATTTTTCAATGAGTTGTTTATCTGCCGAAATAGTTACTTTAGTTATAGATTTTCGAAAAACAAAAATGACTATATAAATCAAATTTTTTTAAATGTCGATTAACTATCGTCAAATACTTTATTAACTTATTTGTACTGTTCATTCATTCTTCATTTATTCATCTACACAAGAGACGAATGATTTCTCATGATTTTTTTCAATGAACAGTGTCGATATGGGATCTTTTCCTTATACCCGCACTCTCTGCAACAGTGTGAATCGAATCGAATCGAATCCGAATGGAATTTTTCATATTCGTTTCGGTCACTAGTGATTATACAACATACAATGAAATGCCTATTTGAAGAAGAAGAAGACATTAGTTTCTGCTCGCATCTATGCTCGTTAAATAAGTTTCTTGGTTCTTCATACAATTATGTTCACATGTATTCAACTTAATATTTTTCATGGCAACGGAAGCCAATTATTGATCAAAAAGAAAATTAGAATTTTCTTTCTCTTTCAAATTGTTTTATTGAGAAGTAGAAACTAATAATAATTAAAAATAATCCGAATATCTATAAAGCGTTTTTTTCCATTGTATTAAATTACAATTATTCCAATGAAGGAACAAGAGGATCCATTTCATTAGTTTCTAATGGTGACTCATCATCTAAGTTATATATTTCTTGTTTTCGCCTTGTATATGATTCAGAAGAGTTTGCTAATGTTCGAAGATATTCGGCTTCAGCTTCTCCTGTCTGTTCTACTAGTAAAGTAAACTGAGAGTAGTCATTTGAAAGTAATACTTGAGGTGAATCAAATTCGATCAATTTTCCATTACTAAGTACCTATAATAACAAATAAATGTTTACATTTCTAAAATAATATCAAAAAATTCTATACCATGATACGATCACTATCAATAACTGTACGCAATCGATGTGCGACTGTCAATACTGTACATTCTTTGAATTTATCACGAATTGCTCTTTGAATCAATTCATCTGTTCTAAACAATATTTTCATTCGTTATATTTTTTTTCAAATATTTCCTTTTTTTTGTTTTCTTACTCACACATTATCCACATTAGCAGTTGCTTCATCAATCACAAGAATTTTATTCTTTTTCAATATAGCTCGTGCTAAACATACCAGTTGTTTTTGACCAATACTCAAATTAGATCCATTTTCACTTACTAATGAATGAAGACCATTGGACATCATATCTGTTACTAATTTCTTCAATTGTACCTATATTAACAAAACAGATTTATTCAATTAGTGACATATAAAAAATAAAAGATTTATTAAATAATGACAGACTTGTTCAAGTGCATTCCATATTTCAGCATCTGAATAACGACCAAATGGATCAAGATTACTTCTCATTGTACCAGTAAAAAGAATAGGATCTTGTGGAATAATTGAAATATGACGTCGAACATCATCTAATCCAATAGTTGCTATGTCAATATTATCAATAATAATATGACCATCAATAAGTGTACCCATTCGAAAAAGTGTTTGAATGAATGAACTTTTACCAGCACCTGTTCTTCCAACAATACCAATTTTTTCACCAGGTTCAATTATTAATGAAATATGATAAAGAGCCAATGGTGAATGTAGTTCTTTTGAATGAGACATGGAAACATTTTCAAAAACAATACGACCTTGTGACGGCCAATTTGTTGGTGATCGATATTTGAATGATAATTGACTAGGTGGTTCTTGATCAAGTGAACAATATTCAAGTATTCGTTCGACTGATGTCATTTGAGTTTCAACTTCCACTGATTGTCTAGAACAAAACAGCATTTTCTAGACGAAAATAAAACGTACATTTTATTTTCAATATCTAACCTGATAGTCCATTGAAAAACGCTCATCAGACTTAGACTGTAGGTGAGTGTAAGAGCAATTTCTACAACTGAAAATTGACGTTGACTTATACGAACAATTATGGCAAGTACAGTAACTAAGGCAATAAATATTAGAGTTATCCAATCGAAACGCATTGCTGACCATCTACTTAATGTTACAATCAAATATCTAACTCGTCTATTATTATCAAGATGA